GAAGAGCTGCCTGCACTAAGAAACACACTGTTCAACGACCCAGTATCCTAATAATTGACCAAATGAAACAAAACTTATGTACCTGCACAATTGCCACTCTAAGCACCGTGCCCTCCAGTCTAACGGCAAAGGAAGCGACTGCCATCAGGGCAGGCCCCACGATGAACTTCACTGCCATGGCGACCACAGCCATTCGGATTCCACATGATATTATTCTGGGCCGCAATGCCATAAATAGACCTGTTGAGTGTTTGGATGGAATGAGAATTCTAGTGACGGGAACTCATGATGGGATGTTAATTTGTTGATGATATATAGTCATACCTAAGCTGAACATTGCCATACCAAGCCCTCCTGTTGACAATATCGCTATGGATTTATCAACAATATCCGGCAATTTCACTCCCCACCTAAAACAGATAAACGTGGCCTCAACTCGAGTAATTAAAGGAAGAACAGCTACTTAATCATAATTCGTCAACAAGCTATCATCTCATGTATGATCTCATCAATTGTAATGCCAAACTTTATGTGTCTGATGCTTTTGCAGATGTACCTGAAGTGTATACTTGCCCAAATAAGAGCCACCATGGTAGCATAAAAATTTGGGTTTCTCATTAGCTTCTTCCCCACCGTCAAAAGAATGAGCATGGTTTTAACCTTCCTTCTTGTTCTGCTTTGCACTTCCTCTCCTTCTTTGTATTGTGATTCTTGAAGAGTCTCTTGATCTCCTTAACATAGACATGAAACCATATGTGGAAGACATTAAATAAAATACATACATACATACATACATACATACATATATATATATATATATATATAGAAACAATGGTGCACCGGCACATGATGTTTGCATGATCACCAATCAGACAGCTTACAAGTAATTACCACCGTATTTAATTAACAGGCGGTAGCACACCTTAGCCAACCATATATTATGAGTTATTCCAGGCAAATGTTGATGAGCTTCACATTTGTGCAATTGGACAGAAGGAACGTTCATAAACAAAAGAAATGGGCAGAGAGGAGGAACGTTTACGGGACCCACTTGGGCTATCTCCTACTCCTATATATTTAATTAAATTAAGTTGACAGAACAGGATTGGAATTGAAATACGTACTACTCATTATCTTAGAGTTAAATGAGAGTCTAGTAGTGATCCATGTGCATCTGGTGCTGCTCATGCTTTGGATTAGTATTAGTATCATTGTTATTTATGAAGGAAACACAAATACCTGTAGTTTCTGAAGATGGTGCCACAGTGGCTTCCTTGGTGGCATTGAGCTCAAACAGAAACAGCAACAAATTGTACCAAATCAGGCTTTGCAAGCCAACTATCTGCGAAAGAAGTGGCTCTGCCTCGGCTCCGTACATAGCCCTCAGAAGGGGAAGGCCCAGGATCAAAGTGTTGGGCAATGTCGACAGGGAGAGACCAGTGATGATCCAATTCAACCGCCCGCGAGAGCTGATTTTGGCGAGTGCTGTCAGTACTAAAAGGGCAAGTAGTTTTTGAAGAAAGTCGGCAAATATAAGTTTCAGGTTCATTTTGTAGGGATTGATACTAGAGATGACTTGGAATGATAATAACGGGATTGAGAATTTAGCAACAAACGTGTTTATGCCTGCACACTGATCTGGTGTAAAGAGCTTCCACCACCTCACAGAGATGTAGGCCAATATCATGGCAAAATATAATGGGACTGTGGCTGCCACCACATGATAGACATCAGCTGTGGAAATCATGACAACCAGTGGTTCAAGGATTGTGATATGTACTGCTTTATGTTTTCTTCTCGGCGAGAATCCTTCGTAACTAATCTCTTTTTATATGCTCTCTCATGGTTGCTTTGTCAGATCATGAAAAGTTGTGTTGGCATCAACTGTTCTGATAGAAGCCTCATTAGAAAGTCTTTCCCAATTCCCATAATGACCTTAGCTTAACATGGTGTCTGCACTTTTACATTCCTGATTATTATACCCTTCAGCTAAGTGCCTCAGTTTTAATAATTACTTGTACCTCTACAGTGTGTATTTGATGGAATTCCCTGTAATATATGTATACTTTGTTCTTCCTGTTGTGCTGGTTAAGTGTCATATGTAGAAAGGATCATCATACAATTACGGGAATCTTTCTTGTTAGTGAAAGCTCAGGGTACTTGTGTCTTAAGAGTCAAAAGATAGATTCCTACTTCCATCTTGTTATGTCTTTAGGCCCTTTGGTTCTTTAGGCAAAGAAGGGCTTTGTAGAGGCTGACACAAACTCTAAATCTTGCTCATTAAGCTTTAATTCCCAAAACTTGATCTCAAAGAGCAAAAAGAAAATTCATTTCCTTTGTTTTTTCTTAATTACTCCATCTTGAACCTGATCGCCTCTAATCCTCAACAAAGCTCATTTACGATTTCTTTTGTTTTTTTTTTCCAGTGTATTGAGGATTTTCATCTTGGCCACATAATCTAGAAAGTAGATGGTATTTGCCCAGCTATTCTTGGCTTATGATAGTTGTTTCCATGTTCAGGCTTAGGGGAGGAGAGGAATAAAGAAGTGAATTGCAAGGGAAGTAATTGAAGCACTGTGTTTCTGACAGTGGTGAGGAAGGATTTGCTAAATACGGTCAAAAGCGAGAGAATAAGTGTTGCGGGGATTTCTCTTTTATGAATTTGAAATCCTGCCAGCAAAGACCTATGCATCGTCCCTCTTTCTCCATGTTGTCTTTTTTACCAGAAATTTTGCCAATTCTTCTTATGCATCCTTGTGCCATCCATCCATGGCTTCTTGGCACAAAACTGACGCACGCACACACACGCATGCCTGCTGGCGACTCGCTAAGAATTCCGTACATTATTATACTTTGGCTTAAATGATAGGCAAAAAGGATCTTATGCGGCTTTTGCTAAATACCAAGAATTTTATGCTCTGAAATATTTCTTTTCTTTTATCGGACTTTCAATTTCTTCATATTATATATACTATCAAGTTGTAATATTTATTGATAATTTCCTGCATATAATTATATATTTGCCTGAAAATCTCTTAAATTCAGGCAGTTCTTTTTATATAACTTGTTAAATGTTATGGTCTAAACATCAGGAAAGGCTAATTATTGCTTCACCTTCTTCGTCACAACAGCATAGCAGCAGCTGCATGCTTAATTCGGACCCAAATTAGGCAAATTATTTTATTTTTAATTTTGTAACAAATAAAGTAAGATGGAAATGTTTGAATTCATAACTACTTGATTAAGAAGGCTCCAATACTTTATTTAAAAATCATCTTCACGCCAAATATCAATCTACTAAATAAAGCTTTAAAATATAATTTATATAGTTGTGCATCACGTTTCTACATTTAGTTATCATACACGCCGATGCCCGCCAAGAGTCGTGCAAGCTTTGGCCAGACATCTCTCCTTCCCTAAGTAAAGTCTAGGTACGTTAAGATTATGCTGTTTGCTAGCTAGCTTTTTCACCTTTCGGCCTACGAACGATTATGGAGTTTTTTTTTTCTTATGATGTCTATAGCAAAGAGTGTGCGTGTGTGTTCCCACCAATCAGAGCATGCAATTTAGGAGATAACATTCGCAATATTCTTGAGATTCTGTGTGATATTAGGAATGCGCCTTGATGTAATTCTGCATTTGCATTGTTTTCCTATTAAAAAAGAAAAGGCCTTCAAGGAGCATGTGGAAGAATCATTAGTTGCTGCACTGTTATGCAATCTGAATTAAGGACAGTACGTTTTCAGACTTGGTAAAAAATATATTATATGTATTTAGAAATAATTAAGGCAGATTAACATTAATTATATTGTATAAATTACTACGCAAACTGAATTGAAAAATCTCTCCAGACATGTATGTTTATTGCCTAGTGCTGTCCTTCTTTTGTGGACTGGTAGAGCTTTATCGAAAGGGCTGCGTTAACCTTTTCCTAAAGCAATCATCAGAGAAACTGAGGTAAAGCTTAGTACGTTTGCTTTCTTTTCCTCCTTGAGAAGTGCCAATGCCGCTTACGCTGTGCTTAGTTTAGTTTCTGCTAAAGCCGGGCTGTTACATCTCCTATATAGATTCTATATGCCGAACCCTTCTAATGCTTTTACTTCTCTTAGACCTTGAGTCAATAATTTAAGTGGCTTAATTGACCAAGTCCCTTTCCTTTTGCAACCATGCTAGACTCTGAATGGACCTCCATGTTTCTGAATTGTCTTCTGGAACGCTACTGAGACTTTCATATTTGACGCAGAATTGCACGTGTAGATATATTAGCTAGCTGATAAATAACATGATTTCTTAAAGGCTATCGATGCATGCATGGCGAATATGTTAGCTAGAATTCTTATGGTCGTAGTTCATAACAAATGCTACGGCTATATATAGCTAGAGAATGCTGTCGTATAACTAATTAATCGATCCGTGCTCAATGTGTGTGTAACTAAGACGTGTTTACAGGATGGATGTGTTAAGGAGCCGGGGATGCAGATTGCTTCTCTATTAACTCGAGCAACTTACAAGGAGATTGTAATATATATATATATATATCTGATCAAAATATACTAATAAAGGGGAAAAAAGGAGTCAAAAAAGAAGAAGAAAAGAAGACGGCTTGCATGGTGGCATTAATTAGGGGTTTGATTTTAGACCATTAATTCTCCATGGTGGTTGATTTTTGTTCTGTCAACCGTTATTAGAATGTGGTTTCCCATTCTCTACGCTTCTAATTTTAGATGCCCAACGTCTTTTGGGGTAGTATTTAAGCATGCCCACAACCTCAAACCCGAGTGTTCTATTCGTAAAGCCAAAACCAAGACATGCAGATGGCTTAAAGATTCACCTAGGTTCAATTTTTTTGTGGTCTAGTTCGGTCTGAACCCATACAAGAACTTGCGAGCCCACCGCGCCATCCGGTTCAACCGTAGACCTTGACCTATTACGTACGGACCTAGGTCCAATAACACTTTCGGTCATAACCTGCTAACTTTCAATTATACATACAAAGCAAAATGGCAGTGGGTAAGGCCAAGCTGATCTTTGCTATTACTCTTGCGACATTGATTCCTGCTCTGTTGGCAGACATCGCCTTCTTCGACGAAGTGTGGCAAAAACGAGCAGAGGAAGCAAAGAAGGTGACCTTGAACTCCTACGTACCCAACCCGGAAGATGCAACCGATGATTTTAACTTTGAAGTTAACAAGTGATAAATATTCCTCAACGTCCTTCTCTCCATTTCATTGATAATATCACACAATGCCATGACATTTCTCTCTTTCTATGTTTTTTTTATGGACACGCGCACACCATATATATATAGGAACTTGATCGATATGATATCATAGAAAGCTGATTGTTACAATTTTTTTCACTGGGGCATGCAGGTACGCTCTTGCAAGAAACAGCAGTTTAAAATCGGACATTGTTGATGATTTTGGGAGCGCGAACAGCACTCTTGTGGACTTCGATGATGATGGTAATGATGCTGGCTTTGAACTGCTCGCAAATAGCACTAGAAGGAACCTGAAGCAAGGAAAGAAAAAATACCTAGGTCCATGCAAGGTGACGAACCCAATTGACAAGTGCTGGAGGTGCAGGAGGAACTGGGCTAGAAACCGTAAGCGTCTGGCAAAATGTGCACTTGGTTTTGGGCGTAGGGCAACTGGAGGATTGAAAGGAAGGGTATATGTGGTTACCGAAAATTCGGACGACGACGTCATGAACCCAAAACCAGGGACTTTGCGACATGCTGTGATCCAAAAGGAGCCATTGTGGATCATATTTTCAAAGAACATGAACATTAGGTTGTCGAAAGAGCTGATTATGACTAGCCATAAGACAATTGATGGGCGTGGACACCATATACACATTGCTTATGGTGCTGGAATCACAATACAATTCATCCAGAACGTAATCATTCATGGAATTCGGATCCATCACATTGTTGCTACTAGCGGTGGCAATATTAGGGATTCTGTGGGGCACTATGGGATCAGGACCAACAGTGATGGAGATGGAATTTCCATCTTCGGATCCAGCAATATTTGGATCGATCACGTTTCCATGTCTCGCTGCACCGATGGTCTCATTGATGCGATTATGGGATCCACAGCAATAACCATTTCAAATTCCCACTTCACCCACCACAATGATGTAAGCTAGCTATCGATGATGATCATTTTAATTAATCAATCAATGTCCATCATGTGATGATTTCATGATATTGAAATTGATGCGCGAGTGCATGCATGCAGGCCATCTTGTTGGGTGCAAGTGACAGCTTCTCAGGCGATGAGCTTATGCAAGTCACGGTTGCGTTCAACCATTTTGGTCAGGGACTGGTACAGAGAATGCCAAGATGCCGATGGGGTTTCTTCCACGTTGTTAACAATGACTACACTCACTGGCGCATGTATGCTATTGGTGGTAGCAAACACCCTACCATTGTCAGCCAGGGTAACCGCTTCATCGCACCACCTGAACTTCATCTGAAACAGGTAAATGTTAACTAATTATACAGTTTCGATTTTTAATATTGATATCATGTAACCTCACGGCATGCAATATGCGCAGGTGACGAAGAGGGACTATGCGCCGGAGTCTGAATGGAAAACATGGACATGGAGATCAGAGAATGATCTAATGATGAATGGAGCCTTCTTCATTGAATCAGGAAAACCTAGAACCAAGAGACCTCATAAGAAGTTCATGATCACAGCCAAACCCGGTTCCCTTGCTACAAGGATGACACTCTTTGCTGGGGCACTTGATTGCAAATCGGGTAGAAAATGTTAAGAAAATAATTTCATACCACCTATGGAACCTTCAACTTAACCACCAAGGATATGTGAATGAGAACAATTTTAACGTTGCTTTTCTTGTTGTTTTCTAATTTATTTATTTATCTTTTAATGATGATGCTGCTGCTGCTTGTTCGTGCCTTTTAGATCTGTCTGGAAGTGAAAAATGGATGGATTTAATTAATTCCCTTCTGTTTAATTTCTGGCTGATTTTATTTTTTTCTTGATAATTATATAAGCGCGACGCGGCGTTGTCTATGCCTGTCGTCTAGATGTTGTTTGGGACCGTGACCATCAATAAAATTAAAAGGCATGGATTTCTCACATGAAATCATGAATTATGCAATTTTTTTTATTTTTTTTATTTTTGATTTAGTATTAATTAAATACCAATTAATTTTGATTTTTTATAAAATAGTAGGATTAAAAAAAGAAACCTAAATATAAATAAAAAAAATCAAACATGGATGGCATGCAATAAGTTTTGAAAAAGATATACTTTGGTACCCTTAAGCTTAAAAATAATGCAAATTATATAATTTTCATATCTTAATATTTTTTAAAATTATTTTGATATAAAAGTTTATTTTTATTATTTTTTAGTCTCTGGTTGAGAGAGGAGAAAAAGAAATCACACATGTTCTAATGATAAAGAGAAAAATACGTCGTTGGTATTTGAGAGAGGAGAAAGAGAAATCACACATGTTCTAACGATAAAGAGAAAAATACGTCGTTGGTATTTATTTAGATCACCAAAACAAACAATATTTATATCAAAAGATTCTTTTTGATGAAAAAAATTCATATTAGGTGTTTTTTACCTTTAAATTTCATGAAAAAAAATCAAATTGATCTCGAGTTGATTTTTTATTTTAAGTTGATTTTTGTTTTTAGAACGGTTTTTCAGTTTTTTTAGGCCATGAATAGGTTTATCATTATTTTTAAGATGTTTTATAGATATTTTGAGTCAAACTAAGTTGAAAACGGGTTTTTCGGTAAAAACAACTTAGACTTTAATTTTTTAGGTTAGATCAGACAACGCATTATCTGATTTATTTTCAAAAAAATCAGGATGAACAATATATCATCCACCCTAAGTACAGAATAAATAAGAGCTTAGTCATGAAGGCCTGCCAAAGAATTCATAACTAGTTACCTATAATCTACAACATATGAGCATTTCACTGTGGAGCCGACATTGTTCAATGATACTTTTTAAGAATTCATTTTGGTTTTCAAAGTTTTATTTTGTATGATTTCACCTTAATTCAAGGTCAATTACCATTGATTTATTATTCAATGATAAAAATGAAAGAAAGGGGACTAGAATGAAAAAGACATCAAACATGGATGGTGTGCCAAAAGTTTCAAAAAATATACATTTTAATTCTTAAACTTTAATCATTACACAAATTATATAATTTCAATACCTCAATACTTTTTCCATTCAATTTTGGTACAAAAATTTATTTATTTTTATCTTTAATCCCTTGTTAAGAGAGGAAAGAGAAAGGTTACTGAATTTCAGTACAATAAAAAGAAAAATATCATTGACATCGATTTAGGTTATCAAAACAGTTAATGTTCATGTTGAATGGTTTCATTTAATGAGGAGAGTTCATATTATGTATTTTTTCACCTTTAAAGTTCGTAAAAAAAAAAAATCTAAGCTCAGTTTGATTTTTTGTTTAGGCTTGATTTCAATTTTTGAAATGGTTTTTTAAGGCCATAGATAAGTTTATCATGGTTTCTAAAGTGTTTTATATGTATTTTGGGTTGATTTCTAAAGTGTTTTATATGTATTTTGGGTAAAAAAAATCATCCATCCCATGTGTAGCAAAAAACAAATAAAAGCTCGATAACATGGGCCTTAATTAAATTGAACTAGATAGGTTGACCTTGGTTGCTAAGATTAGCAGCGCTTGGCTTTTTTTTTTTTTAATTAAATCTTATTTTTATATGTTTTTTTCTTAATATTATTTCTCTTTTTTATTTTATTTAAAAAGCCTCTTTTTAATTATTGTTATATTTTGGTAATGCATTTAATTTTTTAGGAGGTTTTTCTTATTCATTTATAATTTTTTCTTATTTTGTATAGATGAACTTTATATTTTTTTTTTAAAAAAAAAGACTTACTTTCATATAATATTTCTAATATATGTTTAATATATTTCTAAAAAGACTTACCATGTATAATATTTTTTTTCTTTTATTTTATTTAATCAATTTAATGTATGTTTTATTTCTATTATTGTTTAATTAAATAAAATTTATTTTTATTATTGTTTGATTAAATAAAAAAATTATTTTGATAAATAAATTTAGCAAAAATAACCGAGTAAATATCTAGTTTTACAAGATTAAATATCCTTGTTTTACAAATTTAGCAAAAATAACAGAGTAAATATCCAGTTTTACAAGATTAAATATCCTTGTTTTATTTCAAAAATGAGAATATCAAACTTTATAATATAAATTGGTATGAATTGCTTATGGTTTCCTTGAAATATGTCTAACACATGTATTTCTTGTAAGATGTATCATTACCTATTTTTACCCTCTATTTAAGTCATATTTCAAAAAAAAAAATCAAAATGAAATAAAAATGTGGAGTGAAATGATGATTAAAAAAATAACAAAATTAAACATAGGAGTTTAAGTCCTGTACAATTGCGAGAGGGGATCAGGAGGAGAATGGGAGATAAAATACAGCACCAAAAAAGATTAATATAAGGAGAAGCAATTTGAGTTAAAAAGATAAGCAAATGTGAGTTATAAATAGACTACATGAGAGGCGCGCGGGGGAATCACATCACATAGGAAAAGAAAGATATCAAAGTGAAGTCTTAATTGTTGGAAATTTGTTTTTATTAAATAAATTAGATAAATTAATATTAAATAATTCTTGATTTTTAATTTATTTTATATCAATTGTGAGTTTTAATATATATTTATTATACATTGTTAGTATTTTATTATTATTATTGTGTTGAAAGCATATTTACAATTAATTATATTTTTAAATGCTTAGATTAAAATTTATATAAATTCTAGGTTTTCTTTAAAAACTTTTCTATATTTAAAATGCCTTGTTAAGATAAATTAAACATCATTATTTATTGGTTTAATATTTATATATTTACAAACTTTTATTTTACAACCTTAAGGTTTTATAGTTTTTTTATATTAGACTTTGTATAACTTATCTTGCGAGGTGAAATAATAAAAATAATAATATAAGACTGTTTCAAAACTATTTATTTGAGGATTAAAAGTGGTTTTGGGGTTTTTTTAGGTGTTTGGGTGGCTGGAATTTTTGAGAAAGATGGAAGGATGAGTGTTATTTATTATTTATTTTTTTATGTATTCTTAGGTGTATTTTCCTTATTTTGTGTAATTGATGAATTTATAGGAAAACTTTTACGGCAACACCTTACTTAGGGTGTTTGGGCTTTATCTAAGAAAAATTCTAAGTGTATAATTAGATTAAGACAAAATGGGGTCAAGAACATCCCAAGTCTCATACATTACTTATTTTCTCTCATTTTCTTTCTAATATTTTTCTCTTCATCATATTTTTCTTGATTGAAACTAAAATAAAATATGCAAAAATCCTAAAAGTATTAAAAAGTTCACGGAATAATTTAATTATAAAAAATTTAATAATTTTTTAAAAAAAATATATTTTTGAGTTTTTTGTAGTTTCTTAAGAGTTTGAAAACATGCACGAGGGTAAAAAAAAAAAAGTTACGACACACCACATCAAATCTCAGAAAGTTGCAACGGACTATCTTAGATGACAAAACGAGACCAATAAAATCATGACAACTTCAAGGAATTTTTTAATTAAAAAACAAACAATATAATTTTGAACAAAATAATTAACCCTAGTTAATGAAATTACTTGTAAATTAATCTAACAACCGAGTCAGATCTGAGGTCAGATTTCAAAACTATAATCTCAATCATTGCTTTTATTCTCCCCTCCATGTGAAAGACTCTTACATTTGTTCTCCTTGTGAAAACAGAATAATTCTCACTTCTTTGAGCATTTCATTTCTTCAAATCAAAAACTTTAAAAAGCATGAATAAGACATTCGATCCCGAGTAACAATCAACTAGAGAATGAATAGCAAGGATGACTTGAATTTCTAATGCCATCCAAGCTGATCAAATCAATTCTCTCCAACTCCCACCAAGTTTATTTTTTAACCTATTTTTCTTTCTTTTCCTTTTTGATTTTGTGGAGTTCTAATTTTGTTTTTCAATATAATTTATGAACTTCGATCTCATAATTCATAAGAGGAATTTTATAGTTTTACACATGAATTTGAAGTTTTAACACTATTTATAATTTCATAATTTTACAAGTGAAAATAGATTTTATTGTCTAAGTTTAGATTTTAGTTTTTCAAAAAAAAAAAAAACCAAACAAGCATAAGGTACGCACCGGATATACCTGCCGGGTGGAGAAACAACTCTTGTAACGCCATCCAACTGGGCTGAACTCAGAAGCGAGAAATGGATTTAGATATTTATGGAGCAAAATCCAGCTCCTACAATCTCTAACGAGTAGCTCCGCAACAGACCACTATTTGCTTTAATGCAAAGAGCTGCAACAAACAAGGCACCTTGGAGACATAGAATTGAGTGTTAGACTTCACTAAAATTGTATAAAGACGGGTGAAGTGCCGACCAAGCCCTAATACATATGACAAGTCTTAGAACATAGGGCTTCTATCTATTCAACTGTCAGACTCGTTTCCAGAGTCTACCATCATTGGTTGTGGGTTCTTGTAGTCATTGACTTGTAATTTGTACCGCTTTTTATCATTTCGTGCCATTTCTTCGTACGGTTCCTTCTCCTCCGCTGCATTCAAGCAGGTAAAAAACCAAATGGTGAGATATGCTTGTAGTAAAAGATAACGGAATCGCCACAAATTAGTGAACTGAAAAGAATGCAGACCTGACATAGCATTCCACTTTTCAGCAAGT